ATCTGTTAGCGAAGTGGCTCAATGCTCAAAGACCTATACAAATCATTAAAATTGTATTGAAGTAAACATTTTGCATTAAAGTAAGTTTGGCCCAAACCTAATTCGCAGTGAAAAAAACATTCGAAGGCGATTAATCAATTAAAGTCATCTGCCAACTTTTTGATACCGAATTCTAGTTGCTCCCTCATTCAAATTACCTGATAGAACAACTATAAAATCTCTTGACAAAGAGCTATCAAGTGCATGAATGAGGTTTTCATCATTCCAATCTCTGTCATTAGTGTCAGAAACTTGTTCGTTTCGTCACTTTCTAAACACAAACCACATAATCTATAAACATAAAATGAACGATATTTATATTATATATAAATATATCAATTGGTAATCTACCAACAAAGCTTAGGGACATACATATGTATGCTTCTTCCGCAAACTCATCGGCCTCTGAACAACAATCTTGTGATGTCAATTAGAACACAAAATATGCAGCTGTTGTTAAGAAAATTGTGTTTGATATTTTTAGCCACGCGCTCGAAATATAAATATTTCGTCAAAAAATTATTTTGAGCTTTTATTGATATGTTTATAACAATTTCTAGTGGATATATGTAAATTTTACGATGCCTTCACTTGAATCGGTAAGTTAGTTAGCACTGCATAAATCAGAAAATATCACGTCATTGGCTTGAGTGAATTATGTAATTAATAATCAACATTTACCAAACAATTAGCTGGTAAATAGTAAAATCTGGCACATCAATAAATTAAATGATTTTGAAATTCCCTGTAAATAGCCAGAAATGCATAAGTAAACATATGTATATCACATCCGCCGTAATGCTGGCAAAGTCAATTTAATGAAAGGGGCTGTGTGAACAGCTTAAAAAGCAGAAGATAATAAAGTCAAGTCACTTAAAATGTTTACACATAACAAAAAGATTAAAGTGTAAAAAATTATAAATATATACATACATAAATGGTATCTTGATATCCACAACATTCTGAAAACTAGCTCACTTTATTTTATGCTCTTTTCAAGGGTTTCTCTCTCTTTTTTAGTTATCTTCTGACAACCGTGCTAATTAGCTATAAAATTGCATACACTTAGTTTCAATAATATTAATTAAAATTTATGGTACAATAAAATTTAAAGTCTAAAATCATAAATTAATATATGGCTTACATAAGTGCATATTTTCATAATTTATTCATATGCATGCTTGAAACTAAACTCTTCACTATACACCCTTTTGCTGACCTACGCAAGTTGTCATTTATTAAAGTGTTAATTACGCGCTCAATAGCTGTTTGTTAGCAGAATTATTAAAACTGTAAAACTAAATATGTTTCACAAATATTAAAATTAAAAGTGTTAAAAATAAAATAAACTTGCACTTTGCTCTTGGTTTGCAATGTATAGAAAAACTAGTTGTAAACGCGTGTTTAATTGTTTAAAAATAAATAATCTGAGTTTCAAAGAAACAATAAAATTCTCTCTTAGTATCATCCAATTTTTTTGTTGAAATTTAAGTCAACATAATCATTAATTTTCCTTTGACTAATGGCTGTCTAGAGATAACTTCAAACTTGTCTTTAAGAAAAGAGATAAGTTGGTTTTCTGTAACCGGAAGGCAGCTTTTTTTTTAAATAAGTAATGACTTGCACTCAAGTCAGTCCTAATGAAAGCTAGTACCACCTTATCTGGATATTTCTGAATCAGGAGAGAAAGAAAAGAATAACTCTCATATATGGTAGCTATAGCTACAGCAATATTTTCACATGTTTCATAAACCACGAGGCAAAGTCTATATGTGTTTTCAGAAAGTAGTAATTTAGGTATATTACAAGTATATACAATAACATTCTGTTAAAGAAATTTAAGCTCTTTTTATGAGATGTAAAAGCGGGGATCCCTTTTCGCTTGATTGAGTTTTTAACTTTGTAGCAAAAAAGAGCTATTAAGTCAATAAAATTGTTCTGATGTTTCGCAGTAAGATGAGGAACCCTTTTTCATAACTGGTCTTATTTTATCGGTACATCATTAATAAAGCAATAAATGAAAAGTTTGGAACTGAAAGCAATATTTGGAAGGTCCTAATGGTGGTTTGGATGTCGTTTGATTATTCTTGTTCTGACACATCTCCAAAGGTTGGGAAATTTGGTTTAAAATCTGGATGTTAACAACGCATTGACATAGACAGTCCCGTACTCACCGATCACAAATATGTATAGTTCGATAATGAATGAACTGCGTTCTGTGTTTAGTATTCTATGGGTTAATATAAATACGGAATACAAATTCTAGAAACAGATTACAACAGTTTTCTTTCGCTATTTTTATTTCCTCAACATAGTATGTATATTAAATTTGCCACGGAGTTTGTAACACCCAGAAGGAAACGTCGGAGACCCTATAAATATATACATACATGATCAGCATGACGAGCTATGTTAATTTAGACATGACCGTCTGTTCGACTGTCTGTCTGTGTATTCGCGAACTAGTCCCTCAGATATCATTTTCTAGTTTCTGAGATATCATTCTCAAATTCTGCACACGTGCTTTTTCCTATAAGAAGCTGCTCATTTGTCGGAATCGCCAATATCGTACTACTATCGCATGTAGCTGACAGTCAAACTGACCGATCAAAATCTAGGTAGCCTTAATTCGACTTGAAGGTTCTTTATAACAGTAAAACCTTGCTAGAACATTTGTTTATAATTAGTATGTAAGTTTAACAATTCGTTACATTTATGACATTGCGTGTCGGAATCTTGTCTCTATTGTCCTGGATTATTTCTTCCTTGTTAGAGAAATACCATAAAACATAAACCATGGATTGATTTTTTGAATTATCAAACAAATTTTCTTTTTTATATATTAATGCTTGTTTACAGAAAAACAATCTGCATATTTGCTAGATATGACGCAATTTATACAAAGATCAGCTATTTTTATACTCTCGCAACCTGTTGCTACAGAGTATAATAGTTTTGTTCACCTAACGGTTGTTTGTATCACCTAAAACTAATCGAGTTAGATATAGGGTTATATATATATAAATGATCAGGATGAAGAGACGAGTTGAAATCCGGGTGACTGTCTGTCCGTCCGTCCGTCTGTCCGTCCGTCCGTCCGTCCGTCCGTGCAAGCTCTAACTTGAGTAAAAATTGAGATATCTTTATGAAACTTGGTAGACATGTTTCATGGTACCGTGAGACGGTTGGTATTGCAGATGGGCGTAATCGGACCACTGCCACGCCCACAAAACGCCATTAATCAAAAACAAATAACTTGCCATAACTAAGCTCCGCAATAAGATACAAGACTGTTATTTGGTACACAGGATCACATTAGGGAGGGGCATCTGCAGTTAAAATTTTTTTTTTTAAAGTGGGCGTGGTCCCGCCTCTAATAGGTTTAATGTGCATATCTCCTAAACCGCTAATGCTATAATAACAAAATTCACTGGGAGCAAATGTTTTTAGCACTTCTATTGACGGTCTGAAAATAGTTGAAATCGGGTGGCAACTCCGCCCACTCCCCATATAACGGTACTGTTAAAAACTACTAAAAGCGCGATAAATCAAGCACTAAACACGCCAGAGACATTAAATTTTATCTCTGAGATGGTATAAGATGACTTTATAGGAACCGCGTTCAAAATTAGACAGTGGACGTGGCACAGCCCACTTTTAGGTGAAAACCCATATCTTGAGATCTGCCTAACCGATTTCAACCAAATTCGGTGCGTAACGTTCTTTTCATGTTTCTATGTCATAGTGCGAAAATGGGCGAAATCAGACTACAACCACGCCTACTTCCCATGAAACACCCTTTTCAATTCCATCTGATTCTTTCACTTTCCACTATGCATATCAAGCAACAATTATTATATCGGGGTAAAACTTTGCGTGAATAATACGTTTAAAGTATGCCACCTTGTGACCAAAAATTGTCTAAATCGAACCAAAACTGTTCAAGCCCCTAAATATGTGGACCCCAGTGCCTATAGTTGACCTTCTACCGAAAATATCAGTCAATCCACAAAGAAATCTCAAACGAGTATACCATTTGACTTTGCGAGAGTATAAAATGTTCGGTTACATCCGAACTTAGCCCTTCCTTACTTGTTATTTATGAAAAATATCACAAGTTCTTATCTCACAAAAATTTAATAACAGTATTTTGCATTTGAAGCCGCTACAAGCTTCTAAAGGCAAACTTGTTACTATTACTAAACCTTTTAGAAAAGTGCATTAAGAGCAACGGAAATAACTTATAATTTTTTTAAATGCACACAAATTGCACACATTTAATCCCCTCCTTAATATTAGTTCACGCTTTCAACGCAGTCGGCATGCAAAGACGCACAAACATTTAAAAAATCTATTAAATGTATGCATTTTTTATGGCCATGAATTTTATGGCCGATAAAATGTCGAAGGTACACGGGACCTGACGTCCATTACTCACCCTAACGCTGCCCCAGCCATATTGTCTATGCAGAAAATATTGGGAATATGCAAAAATTGCGCTTCCCTGAGGGCGCCTTTTGTACCGTAACTAGGTAAATAGCGCGCACAAAAGCCACAAAATGCTTTATTGCATTTAACGGCGTTTAAGGTGACGCATACGCTCAAAAGGGGTAGGCAATCGGTACAACCCTATGTTTTACAATTATTATTTTTCATATAGAAGAGTGAGCTCGTGTTTGTGGATTTGTGGAGAGCGCTTGCACTGAGGAGAGAGACAGTACGCAAAGCAGTTTAAATTCACAGTGCGCACAGACAATTTTTTATGTTTTTTAAATGGCAATAAGTTTCAGTAGTTTTATTTGCTTTTTTAACGTTATAAATCTTATTTTTAATGCTTTTAACATTTTATTTTTTGAACATTTTATCATTTTCATTTTTTTCTTAAATTTTATTTTATGTTCACCCGATTTGCTCGTTGGTACTTAACCGCAACAAAAACAAATAACACTTGCATAACATAGGTCACGTAGGGCTAGTCAAGATGTATCGCTTATGTCACGCAGTGTTGACAATTTAGCCGTGCCAGTGCGTCGGTAAGTACACAAATTAATCCTTTAACCGCACCTTACTAAGTATTTATATGTATATACACACAAACAAATATACGAATGCAGATTCTAACCCCAAAATTTAATGTATTTATTATTATTTTATTGGCTATGCTCTTTTATGTAATTCAATGTTGAATATGGCATATAAATTATGTTTATCAAAATATGAATTATCTAGTGACGTAATTTGCTATTGCATGCCTATATGTTTACCCGTGTAATTTACCTATATGTATATTTGTATGTATCTATTTATGTTTGTTGCATGCACCTTGAAACTATTTGCATTTTGCTTGAAACGATGTGGAAATAACTAAATTAGCTTTGATGTTGAAATTTGAACATTGAAATTCATAAATCTTAACTATTTACTTGCGTATAAATGTTAAAAGAGCTTAAGTCGACTTTAGTTAAGGACAACTATTCTTGCGATTCCGGCCCACTTATTCAGATCACGACGTCGTGCCTTAACTTAATCGATGCCATAGTATCGGTAGTTTTTATTTGCGATAAAATGTCAGAAAGTAATGAATTCAAACTTTTATTTATATTCAAACTACATATCGTAGTTTAAGTCGACTTAAGTTAATTTGACATATTGACGCAGATAAATGAACATATTTATTTATTACCTACTTATATCAATATTTTGAATATAATTAATAGAAACATAGAACAAAGCGATCATTTATTTTACCTATTAAGACAATTATTTACATAAAGTAAATATTTACATGTGAACAAAAGTTTCGCGTATATACGTATATCGCACACATTTATTTTAAGCCTACAATTTTATAAATATTTTATAAAAAAAATTATAAAAGAAATTTTAAAAAGAGATGTATAAAAAATTATATTAAATGATTGAAAACTTTCTGCTCATTTTATATATTTTATGCCACATAAAAATTTATTGCTACAATTAAAAATAAATTATATTATGAATCTAGAGTAAAAACAAAACTAACTTATCGCTGCTTGTACGTTGGAAATAGTCAAATTGATTCTACTAAAACGAAAAAAAATTGAGGAAAGCAAATAATACCATAGTAAACTAATAGTTTTATTATTTTTAAATCTAAAAAGCATCAAAATCTTTCATAAAGAATTTAAGAAATTCTAAGCGTAAAAAGTCTGTTCAAAAAAAGTATACTTATAAACTACAAAATTACTTAAAACCCGTGCCTAAAAATTACATAAAAACATAAGCCAAAATTAGTGAATATGTATTAAAAGGCAAAATGATTAGCTTAATTAAGTAATTTTAAACATAAAGAATTAAAATACACTCCTTCGCAGTTTTTGAACTCGCAGAATATCATAACTTATTTTTCCTTCTCAATAAATATACATGCAGTAAACCAAAAACAAACTTGTACAGAGTGATGTTTTGACTTCGAAAAGACTTTTCTCTTAAAATATTTGAGGCTTTTAGCTGTAAGCAAGAGTAACAATGTGAGAATCTTATGTCAATTTTGATGTTAACTATTGCAAAAAACTTAAATATCTAATTTTTGAGCAGCCAAATAAAACTTCTACACTTACGTTGGCACCGCTTTAAATGCAGTTATGAAGTAGGTACCGTTAATTTTGTCTGGTATTATTGTATTATAGTCAAGATGTATTGAAGAAAAAATGGTGCATAAAAAAGCATCTCTAGATTTACAGGCTCAGATAGTCAAATTTGGCAAAAGAACAAAAGTACTCTCGAAATAGGCAATATTAAAAAACAAAAACACATACATACTGTTTAGTATATTATTGCTAAATTCAAAAATCATGGTGGTAACATACCTTCTTTTTTGGAGCAAAACTTTAAAATTTCGTGGTAAAAATTGTTTCACAAGCTATAGAATAGTTCAATGGCCTGTCAGAACACTCACAGCTAGGAAGAGACTAGCCTTACAGAGGGCAAAGAGCTCACTGTATCTCTTACGATCTATCTTGAGCCAAAATAATCTTGCGATAGCGCATGAACCGATGGTAGCCCAGTGCTGGTCAAGCTCTCGCGAAGTCGTAGAACATACGAGGAGAGGAGAGCATCGACCTACTGATAGCGGGGCTAAGGTACCTTTCCTTGCCAGTTTGTTAGCTTTACAGTTACAGTTTAAGCATTTCTTAACCAGCCCCAAATGTACGGTTAGTGAGCTCAAGGCGACAACGGCTGTATTCCGGAGTCGTAAATCTACCGCTACCTTAATGGCAACAACCTCGGCTAGAAAACACTGCAATAGTCAGGAAGTCTGAAACTAAAGTTAATAGAGAGTTCTTGATAAAATACCCCTGCATCAACCTTCTTCCCCAGCCTTGATCCATCCGCAAAAAAGCTTATTGCTCCTTTTCTCCAACGGCTTCTACCCACCCACAACTCCCTCGCAGGTATGTGGGCAGAGAACATGCAAAAGACTCGGTTCAAACACGTGTTCATTTATAAACCCAAATTTTCTGAGTCTCAGTGGCATTCTGCCCAAACTTTCATACAGCTTAAGTCAAATATTTGAAACCTTAAACTAATAAAACTTTTATTACTGACAGCGTTGCCACTCATAGGTATTTTTCAAAAAATAAAAATCAAAAAGTTGAAAAATTATCACCAATGCATTGAGAATATTTGAAATGAAGACTATTCATTCTTAATTAAAAAATGCACAAAATATAGTTGATAACATATAAATTCATTTTGAGAGCGACCTGCTTTAAAGTCTAACATTAAACAATGTTTCGAATTTTTGTAAAAATTAAACATGCAGTATTTGCTAAATTTAGAACGAACAACACCTGAATTAAACTTGAATTCGCGACATTAACCGATTTTATCTTAGGCAATTTATATTAAACATAACAATAAACATGATCTTTTTGGCAATTTGAGTTATCAGTGACCGGCGATTTAAAGTGAGTGGAAAAAAATAAAAATGAATCCCAAGCACGCGCGCCGAAATGATATGAAAAGTGGCCGATCTTTATCCACGAGTATGCGCCCATGACATATCAGCCAGTTTCCAAGTGCCTTATAGTGTATCAGCTGTTTTTATTTTCCACTCAACTGTCAATGACGCTGTCAATACGCCGCAGCGTTGATAAATTGGAACGCCCTATTATTTGCGATATTACATTATTGACTTTGACTGCCTCATTGCCACTGGTCTTTTGCTTTATTTTATTTATTTTTTCAATTATTATTTTCTACAACACTTTTACTTATTTTTTGCTGCGTTATCGGTAGTTTCGAGTGCTCAACACAGTGCCTAACATACAATATGTATGAGTAACCACATAAGTTTAAGCTCGAGTGCAAAGTGTGTGGCAACTCCAACAATAAACACAGTGCTATCTCCATAAACACTCTTGCGGCTGACAATGAAACGTGGAAGTAATGAAATTAAATAAAATGCTGCGCGAAACCCGGCGATTATATTACAGGAAGGTCGACTCTGTGACAGCTTTTATATTTTGTTTTTTATTTTTTATGGGCAGCACTTAAGAGTTTACATGTCTGCAAAAGCTCATATATTATAAGTACATATGTATACATAGTTACCATACATTGGAGTTATGCATGTTCGCATGTTCCATTTGCTACAGCTGCGTGCAAGTAGTAAAGTCACACTTTCAGTGTTGAAGTTTTGAGGAGAAGTGTTTGCGAACGCTGGGTCATTGACACCCACTTCAGCGGATTAGTAATGTAAACATAGGCGACAAGTAAGTGTTTATGCACTTGCAAATAATGTTGATGATTTAACCGTCATATACATGTACATAGTTGAGCATTAAGGTGCACCACTACCGACCGACCTCAAAAAATATTATAAAATATTTTAACAAGTTTTCGAACGATTTTATTATTTTTAAATTTACTATGTTTAAATACTTCGGTATAATATGAAGACTTAATGAATAATATTTAAAATAGTTAAACAAATTTCAGTATAATAGTGATGGAGTATTCTTTAAAAATTTCTTTGCAGCTTGTTAAAGCATAGGTGGCTTTTCTTCTATTACAAAATTTTGAAGTTTTTTAAGTCCTTTAGAAAGCTTCTTAGCGAAAAATACTGTAGTTTGTAGATTCTAAAGTGGTGTGCTCCCTTAAATTTCTTTATACTTGTATTTGTGGATAATATATGTTTAAAATTTAGTTAAAAATTCTCAAGAATCACCCTAATAAATATAAATATACATTTTAAAGAGTTCACTTTTATCCAAACTTTTATTTTTGTCTATTTTAAAAATATTTTACATTTTCTTTATTTACTAATAAAAACAACACAAAAATTTGAGTTGGTCCATTTCGTCGAGGTTTCCTCAAGACTGAACAGCATGACAAAAGGTAACCCAAGAGACTTCAATGTTCCTTTGAGTACTCATTTTAATCTCACCGAAGCCGACTTAAGGTAAACTGAATATCTGGGCGATTTTTGATTAGTTTTGACTAAAATCGCACTAAAATATTTAAGTCGTTCCTTGTAACTTTAGAGCTTTACATACAATTCTATTCATAATGATGAGGACTTCATTGTCTTTTTCTCCGTTTATCTGCTGTTTACATTTCGAATTATATTGAGCTATATAAATTCTAGGCTAGAGGCTCTAGTTCTCCTATGAAATTGCATTTCTCACTTTGCTATGAAATAATTTTTCAGTCACTTTACTTAATTATCTTCTATATAGTATAGCACTTGTACTTGTTTTGAAGTTCTCGTAATATGTATCAATTATCTGCAATTCAAAAAGTAAACCTTAAGTACTTAATATGTGTAACGGTAATTAAACAATTATTTTATGGCCTGTACTATTCGGGCACCCTAATCAGCGTCTAATTAAAACGTAAACACGACGCCACTCTATAAACTTTTTGTTGTCTGAAGCTTTTCGCACAACTTGACTGAACTACCATATATAATAGGAAGGGAAATTTTAAATTAATGGAATCAGATTGTTTTAAATAGTATTTAATGGATAATAGAGTATTTCTAATTAGT